GCATTCACCTTTTCTCTTCGCTGTTCCTGCTTAGTTCATTGTTGCTCTCCCTTCAATCGGCCCCTGCCTTGGCCCCCGTCCAGGTTCAGCCTCTCTCTTCGTGGCCTCACCTTAGTGCCCCGTCGCTCCTCCGCCTTTGCCCGCGATACTCCATACTGCAATGGCCAGCCCGACAACCGCAGCGCTCCGCTATCCGTCTCTCTACCTCGCCTTCCCTTGCCTAGCGCTCGTCACCCCGGTTCCCGGATGCTGCGCAGTCCGACGAAAACTTGGGTGTCAGAAACAGGAAATGTCTGGCCGTCGGCCCTTTTCCTGATTTATGCGCGTCACCCTGGCCGCGAGCCATGCTACTTCTCTGTATCGCTCCAATTTTTGCGGATGTCCCGAGGGTCCTGCCCGGGGTAATGCCCCGCGGCGACACCAAATGGCCGCTCGGCCTATTGCACGGGGAGGGTGGGGCGGACACCGTCCTCCTAGCCACTCCGCACGCACCCTGCTGGTCTGTACGTACCCGGCGCGGTCTGCGTCCGGGTTCGTTCCGAACCCTTGCGCACCATCCTTGTTCAGGGGCCATCGTTCCAATTTTAACAGATGTCCCGAAGGACTTTGGCCGGAACAGTGCCCCCACGGAAGTGCATGGGCCACTCGCCTTGTGGCATGACCGTTCATGGGTGCGCCCACTACGGCAGGCTCTCGGCCATATCCCGAAAGAAAACGGGACCCCAAAAAAAAAAAGAAAAATACAACTAAAAAAATAAATAAAAAAAAGACAAAAATATTAAAAAAAACCGTTTTATTACAAGATCTAAAACGGGAACTGGGAGCTACTGGCACCTCGCCAGTCCCTTAGGTCGGGCCCGTCACTACGCATGTCACCAAAACTGAGGGGGGATAGCCCCGTCGGGCCCTCAATCCCTCGGTTTTCTCCTCAATGCTCCGCTGCCACCGCGCCGACGTCTGCCGGCCTCGATCCCCGAACCTCCATTGTAATAGTCCGATGTCGTAACCTATAGCCCAAACCTGAGACCAAAACACGCCGAGTGCCATATAAGACGGTGCGACGCGGCGCTTTGGGCCAACAAAAACGGCAACGCGGCTCTCAGTGCCCACGCCGGCTTGCTTATACCATGCCATATTTGGCCCGCGCGCCATCCTACGACATCCCGCTCACCACACGAAATCATGCCATTATTGTCGATGCCGTCGTCGGGGTCGTTTTCCGCACGCGCGCTTGACCTACTAATCAAAAAGAAAGTATCCTTAATCCCTGCTTAATAAATAATAATAATATCACCAACCGAAATGACCGAGGTCCGGGCCGGCTTTACGATAAAATAACAGAAAAGAATCACGCGTGCCTTAAACCTGCGCGCCCACGCACTCGCTATTGCGGTCAACCACCCAGTCAAAGCAATTACTGACGCAGCCGCGCTTAGCGCGGTATACTTAGACTCTAGACCAAAACTATTTTCTGTCACTTGCAAAAACCAGGGCGGATACCCTTGTAAGGGTATTCGCACCGACAGCTTACCGGACCATATTAAGCGACGTCCCCGTCGCTTCGCCAAATCAGAAGACTATAAATCCATCCACACTCCAAATTCTGACGAAAGAGGAGCCAATCCGATTAGCCGACCAACACAGGGTAGAGGCCTCCATCAAACCATGCCTCCACAACTATATTCTGCCAGGTTTCTAACCCGGGCCTCTTACCGTTCAGATATTTGGACATTGACAGCATAAGTTCCAAAGACCTTTCCAATCGTCCTCTCCCTGGTCCTAGACAACCTTCGGCTTTTCGTTGGGTGTCCCTAGTCCAGGCTAAAACCAGGGACACGGGCCTTAACCGAGACCTTTGAAGGCACTATCACCTTCTTTCTCAAAAACAATCCCTCACAATCAAATCTTCATAAGCATATACAAATACTTGTTATCCACTCAGCTCTTTCTGCAGTCTAGTACAGAAAGGCTAGGTCTCCATCTTGGCCCACCATAGCCTGGCTGATCGGGCCAGGACTACGGCCCACCGCATTGTTATTTAACGGCAGTACCCCTCGTTAGTTACACAACGATAGGTTTCCTCCTGATAAGTATTCAATCAGGATTCCCCCCCAAAAATTATCAATCATCACTATCCCACAGAGTAATTTCACTGGGGTGGGCAACTCCCTTTAAACTCTTACCCCGCGGTCCCGCAGCCAGGTTGCACCGGCCAGCAGCTATCCAATGGGGTTACGCCCTAGAGGTACTAACTTCTTTTTCGTTAGCTTGGTCTTTCTTCAATATGTCTTAGAACTAGCACAGGTGGTTAGACGGGGCGTCGCAAAACAAAATCACAGGCCCACTGCGCGATACGCAGGGGTCCGAAAGCATTTACCAGCCCTCCTTCAATAGGCATGGCATCCTTCATACGCTTACAAGCAAAATCACTGCTAAATCCACCAGGTCGTGACCCCTGACTTGATCAGAGCCAGCAGCCACCCACCCTGAGACATCTCTCGCCTTGTACTCATTGCGACTTTCTCAAACATTTCAAACAAAAAATGGCCCTTTCCGTCAGACTTTATCACCCATCAAACAACTCGTCATGCCATAAATCAATTTACTCACTTCTGAGGATGAGTCTTCCAACCAAAAACCACTCCCCTTTTCCAACAATCCAAAAGAGACTCTCTTCATAAACAAAACACCCCCTCTTCCAAAAATCGAGAGGGGTCTCGCCATAAAACAATACATTCCCTCTTCCAGAAATAACGAGGGTCTCATCATAAACCAAACACCCCCTCTTCTCAAAGTCACGAGGGGTTTCGTTACATCACAAAACATCATAAAACATCCCCCCTTTTCCAAAATCTAAGGGGGTCCCATCATAAAACAGAACATCAATGAGAGACCATCTTATGGGTCCTCATCACAACTTAGATAACTTTCACAGACGGACTGCGCTTCCTCCCCTTATRCTCTGCCTTATCAGCTGCCGTGGGCAGGTCGCACAAGTATACCGAGGAGTAGATAGTTTTACTTACAATCATACTCACAGTACCTATAATACACCAGATGTTTTTCACACATCGTCCACACAAACTCATCATACATYAGAGTACAACCACACATGTGAGAGTGACAAGTGATCGTCATATATAAGAATGGTCAAAGACCTCATCATAATATATACTCAAGGAAATAACCTGTCTCAACTCAAGTCACACCAAACTTACACTAACATCTGCCCCTAGAATACATGTCAGATCTGTGTCTCAAAGGCCAGGGCGTAGGCCACCTAAATATGTACATGCCTCATCTTAACTCACCCTGATCCTCAAGATCCCAACTCAGTAGAAACACTAGAGTTCAGATCTAGACTAACAACAATCATCAAAATGTCTTCTAAGTCTGAGAGGGTATTACAAAGAACCTAAGTTGATGCCTTACAAAATGCTCGCTCACTTATATAGACAAAACCGACCCTACCTCCTCAATTCCTCCTGGTTTTGCCTATATAACTGAGCCCTAAGTCCATCTGCGGACTTCTCTACTATCCTACCTTGTCTATTATATATTTTACCCCCTACCTCTGAGACCTTCCCTGCTGCCTTATCCTCAAGAAACTTGAGACAGTCCAAAGCCAGATGCACGTTCTTCTTGCAGTAAAAACATAGCCGATCTACCTTTCTCTTCAATTTCTTCTTCCTGGGCTGAGGAGGTGGCGATGAAGGAGATCCCACCAAGGTACCGACACCCCCCTGCTGCTCTGATCGAGGAGTTGCGGTACTAACGACTTCTTGCTGCTCTGTCCCAGGAACCGGTCCACTAGACCCAGATCCAGTAGCCCAAGATCCTAGCCTGCCTCTCAAATCCTCTGTCGCTGGGACGTACTCGGGCGTGTCCAACCTCTGAGGCCTCCTCTCGAGTGTCGCCCCTGGCACTGCCGTGGGCTGCTCCTCAATCTCCTCTGGTCCATACTCAGATGTGCCCATCCTCTGGAGTCTGCCCTCGATGGCACCCTCCTCCTCAATCCCCATCTCTCTCTCAAGAGGCTCTTCTATCTTCTGCTCAGGTGAAAACAAACTCACCTCCTCCCGCATAGTATGCAGCGCCTCAAGGAGCATGTCGATGGATTCCTCTACTGAGCCCTGAGCCGGCTCACTGCTAGATGGTGGCAGCCCCTCCTCTACTGCCAAAGGTACGACTGGGCCTGCCGCTGCTACTGGCAGTGTCGCGAGATCGGTAGGGGCTCTGAACTCGAACGCCTCTCTCTCCGCCTGCCTCTGTGCTCTCGCCTCCTCTGATTCCAGGATAACCCTCCCCATAGGTGGCTCCTGGCGAGGCTCTGTCGCAGATGRCTGTCCTGGCAATCCCTGTCYTGGCTGCCTCTGCTCTCCCYGCCGGCTGCTCTCTGGTCTGTCCGCCTTTCCCTGGGTTTGCTGCCTCAGGCTCTCAATGATAGCTGCCTGGCTGGCCACCAAAGCCCTAAGTTCCTGAATTTCCATCTCCATAGCCTCCAGACGTACTCCATGACTGGCTTCCTTCATTTTCTTCCCCGCCAGATCGCCTTCCAATAACAAGTGCCGGTCAAAAGTGGTCTTGGCCAAGAACTTGATTTTTTTCTTCCGCCTTCCTGGCCACCTCAAACCCGGCTCTTACTGGCGATGGAAGCTCCTCTCCTCTCTGCTCCCAGAAGTCCCTCCATATCTCAGGGATCTCTGGGGCCCTAGCTGGTGCGCTGGGTGGTTGACCCGGGAGTGCTCCTGCTGCCTCCGATCTCTGCCTCTCCTGCTGCTGCTCCGGGAGCTCCCCCGCTGCCTCCAACCTCTGCCTCTCCTGCCATATCTCATCTATCCGCCTGGTTCGTCTCGCCCTCTTTTCTTCAGCCGTCTCTCCAGCTGGCACCCTTTTCCTCGTGCGGAGGTCGACCCTCTTTGGGATCTCTGCTTCCATCTCCTTCTCGGGTTGGCATGACTCCTGGTGTGGCTCTGCAGGTGCTGGCTCCTCCAGGTCTGGGTGCTCCAGGGCATGAGCTGCTAGGTGCCTATCAATCAGGATCAAAGCTTCTCTCCTTACAGCTGCCCTCTCTCTCCTCCTTTCTGCCCTCCCTTCTGGCGAAGGAGCCTTTTCTGACGAAGGTAAAGGGGTCTCCTCTCTCTGCAATCCCTCCTTTGCCTGCCGGGTGCTCCCTGGTGCACCCCCGAGTCTCAAACCCACTGCTGGCGTTTGTGGGGGCGTGTCCTCTCCAATGTCTATCACTTCCTTCCCTTCACGTCTCCACTCATCGCCCAGCCCTCTCTCTTGCTGAGTACCCTGGACCTCTTCCTGTGGCACCTCCTCCCGTGGCATCTCTTCTCGTGGTATCTCCCCCTGTGGCACCTTCTCTCGTGGCACCTCCTCTCGTGACACCTCCTCTGCCTGCTCTCCATGCTCCTCACCTTGAAGCGACGCCCTCCACTGAGAAATATCTAAATGCATCTCCAATTTCCTCAAGGGCCCCTCTGACGCTGGTGGCTCCCCCTGTGTGTGTGCTGGCGACCTCCTCAATCCACCCTCAGTAAAACGATGGAACTCCACTGGCCCCAACCCACACTCAGGGTATGCCCCTCGCTCCTCATCCTCTGGCTCCTGCTCTCTCATGGCTAGGGCCTTCCGTCCTCCTCGAGATGGTCTCGCCTCCCTGGGCTCAGGGTCCCTCAGCCTCTGACTCCTCTGCCGCCTCTCGACTCTGGGCTGAGGGAGCTCCGGCTGTCGAAAGGCCTCTCTCAAATGTGCCCTGCAGCTCTCCCAATCTCGTGCCATGTCCCTGATCTGCATAGCCAGTGGCCTTTCCGCCTTCCTGGTCCAGAGTGGCAGCGTCTGTATCCAATCATCTCTCAGTATGCCCTGCTCTTGCATGAATCACTCAAACGCGGGGATGAAGTCCGACGCATTTCCAATCTCCAGGCGGATCGGCCTGCCATTAGGTCCCACAGGCGAGGGTCGCATAAGAGGAGGATCAACGTCCCATCATGTTTGTTGAACATCACGGTCTCTGTCCTACTTAGGAATGACCTCCCCAGGAAGATTCCATGGTCCACGTCTGGCATTATGAAAAAACATGCCCTGGCCTTCACCCTTCCAACCTCGACGAGCACATTCGAGGTTGTCCCGCAAAACATGGCCTTACAGCTGGCTCCATGCAGAATACCGCAGTCAGAACGGTCTATATCCAGCCCGAATCTGATCGCGTCCGCCTCCCGAATAATGTTCATCTCTGCCCCGGTGTCCACCATTGCTGCGCACTTGGAACCCTTCACCATCAAATCCACCGTACCGCAGGCTACGCACTTCCAGTCCATCTTCGTACCTGACTCTGCCCACTCTGCCTCCTTGGGCAGGATCGTACCAAGATGGACATTGGACACCAGGCGCCGTGATAACCTCCCCTTCAGTTCATCGCGGAGTTGCGGGGCTGACGCTAGGATTTCCTTCAGGGTCATGAGGTCATTATGCCCTTCCAGCAGCCGGTCAATCACCTTCTCTACATCAAATCCCTCTTCCAATCGGACCGCGTATTTCTTCTTTTTGGGCGGTCCGTCATGTATGACCGGTTCGGCCTCTCCCCTGGTTCTCTTTTTCTTTGCCCGCTGCTCCGCTCTCTGATCTTCTTCTCTGCGCAGCCTCTCGTCCTCTTCCTCTTCGTCATCGTCGTCCTCTACTTCCACAGCCTCTTTCCTTCTCCCTGGTTCGTGTTCCCCCCTTGGAGGCTCTTGGCTGGTACTGGCCTTGGCTTGATTCCTCGTTCGCGCTACCTGTGCCAGCCGGGCCTGCAGAGTGAGGGGTCTCCCCCTCATTCCTGGTTGAGGGCACGACCCCACCACATTTACTCCGGGTCGCCCAGGCGCTGACTCCGGGCCGAAGTCATAGAGGAATAATGTGGGGACATTAGACTTCCATCCTTTCACTCCTTCACAGAGGCCTACCAACTTTTGTTGGTACCTTCCCATCTTATCCAGCAAGTTCTTCATCTTCTCAAATAAGACGGATAGAGGCTCCGTTCTTTCCTCCTCATCCTCGTCATCTGACTCGATGATTATGGCCTCTTCCGTCTCACTTCCTCCTCGCAGCCCTTGAGTCATTTCCTCATCGCTCCCCACTTCTTCCACTCCAAACGGTGGTTTCTCCTTTTCCTGTCATAGCCTGAACATGGCAGGGGGTGGTGGCCCAGCTGCCGCTCTTCTTTGGGCTTCAGCCCTCACTCTTCCAAGCCTTCTGTCAATGGCCTCCCCAAACTGATCGTAGATATTCCCATCAATAGTAGAGGAAATCAGTCCGCTTCTCTCGTCTTCCCGTCTTATATTACAGAACCTTATAGTGTGGCCCTGCTGGTCACAATGTTGACAAATGGCCATCCTCCAGTCAAAGCGGGGTCTTCCATACCCCTGACTTCCCTGATCCCCCCGGCCTTGATAGCCCTGGCCTTGACTCCCTTGGCCTTGGTATCCCTGGCCTTGACTCCCTTGGCCTTGGTACCCTTGGCCTTGACTCCCTTGGCCTTGGTACCCCTGGCCTTGGCCATTCCATTGCCTTCCTCTTCCGCCGCCATTCCTGCCTCGCCCCTTTCCTCCACCCCTTCCTTCATTGCCTTGATTGCCCTGCCCCTGGTTCCCACCTCCTACAACACTGCCCTGTGAACTGGGATCAGGTGACGGTGGCGGGGCCACAGGTTGGGCCTGGGCCGCGGGGTAGATGGGTGGTGGCATACTCATCTGCGGTCCGGCTACTGGTGGCGTGCTTTCCCATGACACAATTGCGTTGATCACCGGCCAGGGTCAATGTCCATAGGAGGGCGCCCCACCTTGCGAGGGGCCCGTAGTAGATGATGGAGCTGCCACATTTAAAGATGCTGCTGCCTGGGCCTGATGCGCCTGCGCTTTTCCTGATCCCTGTCCGCCCTGCGCCAAATTACGCACTTTGCGCTGGACCTTCGTCAGGTGTTGCGGCACGGGCTCTTCCTCTTCCCAGAGCTCCTCCTGACCAGCCTCCTCTATCACTGACTCTTTTCCTTTTACTTCAACAGTCGTCACCACCCTCCTTTGCACCACCGGCTCTGTCGCATACCCTAGCTGTGCCAATACGTCTGTAACAATCCTTGTTATTCCTGGGGTCCCAGAAGCGGTCGCATCTCTTTCCTTTCTCTTCTGTCTTTGCAGGCGCACCTGACGTTGTTCTACCTGGTCCAAGCACCCAACTTCCACCCCTCTGTCAATGGTGGCCCAGGTGAGCTTAGTGCTACCTCCTCTATGTCTCGTCAATTCGACGGCCTCCAATGTTGTGAGTAGCCCCAGGACGATGGCGCACTGTGCTTCCTCCGAAATCCCATGGACCTTCCGCGACCTCTTCTTAAATTCTTGAACAAAGGCCCCTATAGTCGTAAAATTCTCTTTGTTCATCGCTTCAAGGTCCATGGTAGTCAACAACCCGTCTCCCAGGCGGTATTTCCTCTGCATCCCCTCCTTGAACCTCTCCCAGCTA